TAAAGTAAACAGAGCTGAATGGAGGGAGCCACACACACATCTGATGGAAAGGCTTTTCAACAGAGGAAATAGCAAGCACAAAGAATGAGTAGTGTGCTTGGTATGTTCAAAACACATGAAGGAAGCCAGTACCCTAAAATGGAGTGAGTGAGGAGGAACATAGTAAGAAGGGCATCCATATCATATTGAGCAGTGTAAACCACAATAAGGTCTTCATAATTTATTCTGAGTTTAATGGGCTTTTGGAGCATTTTTCAGCAAAGGCAGGACAGGATCTGACTTATAATTTACAAGAAGCACAATTCACAAGAAAGTCGCACTAAGAAGAGTCTGTATAGGGTTGAGGATCATGGTAAGGACAACTATTGGGACTTTCCTGGAATAATTTACGTTAAAGGTGGTGGTAGCTTGGACTTGTCTAGTGGGTAGTGGGAAAGGTGGTGAGGAGTGGGTAGATTTCACTTAAAAGGTAGAGGCAACAGGAATACCTGACAGATTGGATGTGGAAGATGAAAATCAGTAAGTACGAGTAAAATAACAAGTCAAAATGATATGTGACAGCTCCAAAAAGAAAGTCTTTTTTCCTACAAGAGCCTCATAAACTTCATGACTTGATTCTTATTCAGTCATTCAAATGTGTAATAAAAAAACCCCATTAAAATCAGATCAGTTATAAAAACCCTGTGCTTACTCTCATGCAAGGCACTGACTGGCCTGGGGACACATCCAGGGAAACTACAATTGATCTTCCCTAGTGTAGAAATTATACTGTTCTCTTATCATGAGAAACTACCGTAGAGACAATACAGTATTCGATAGTTCCAGTGCTAAAACCAAGGTGTCCATGGAATGACAGATGGGTGGGAATCTGGTAGGTGTGAGAGGTGTATCCATTTGCCCTTCCAGATCTGCTCGCCAGCTTCCCCCCATTCTACTGTATGTGCTACATCAAGAGGCTTCCTGTGCTTAGGGCTCCAGATGGGCTCAGTCAACTGGCAGTGTAAGCAGGAGGCTGAAGAGAGGGCAGTGAGGTCAGAGGATTTTCTTTTCCAGGCTCCCTCTCTGTGAGGTGAGTTGGGGCTGCCCTCCTTTAACTGAAAGGCACAGATTCAAGGGAGGTCTTCCCCAGAAGCTCATTCCTTTCCAGGCCTGGTGACTGCTTCCTTCCTGTGCCTCTTCAAGTCCACTGTGGTCACCTCACCTTGCTTTAGAGAACCCTTAATATAGTACCATCTCTGTATCGTGAATTCACAAAAATGGTTACTTATTAAATTCTCCTCAAATTATCCATTTTTTAGAGTGCTTTTGTTTCCCTGCCAAGGGCCTACAGAAAGACCTCAGAGGAAAATATTTAAACCACAGAGAAGTTCATTCCACTCGATGGAATAAAATATGAGCAGAAGAAAGATACAGATATTAGGTATAGGAGACTGAGCAGATGAGCCTAAGTGCACATGTATATTTTAACCCACACTCAGATCAGAATCAAGATTTCCAAGTTAGTGGCTTTGCCACAATCATTTATAAATAAACCCACTAGTCATATGGTTATAGATAGAATCCCAATATTAAAACACAAAGTATGGAATCTAGTTTCTCTGAGAAATGACTGAAAAGTTTATAAAAACAGGCAAGAGACTAGGCGGTGTTTATATATGAATTTCATGAAGTTCCCTGGAGTCACATACAAATTTCCATGCATGTATTTTTCTGAAGACATGCTATAGTTTTTATCAGTTTTCAAATAATTTGTACCCCTCTAAAAATCGCTGCTAGTAAATTCCCAAGGAAGCTCTCCTGAAGAGTTGTACATTTGCCAAGCTTAATTCTCCCCTAGAAACAGTTTATGTAGTACAAGAAAGATCTTTATATATACAGTTGCAAAAAACGAACAGATCACACGTTATAATAAAAACACTGCCTGGCAGGGCCTCCCTGGTGGCGCAAGGGGTTAAGCACCACACTATGAAGCAATCCACAGCCTCTGCAGCATGAGTTTGATCCCCAGCCAGCCAGAGAGAAACCCACATGGCGAAGCAGACCTCTCTCCGCTGCTCCCCTCAGCAGTGTTTCAGTTAGTCTGCCTGTTCTGTTCCCCACTGTCTATGGTGAATCCTCTCAACACCCCCTTATCTCTGGCCTGTATCCCAGCTCTTGTATGCATAAATAAATAAATCTTTAAAAAAAAAAAACACTGCCTGGCACTACCAAAAAAAAAAAAAAAAAAATCTGTTGATTCTTTCATACACTTAGTAAACCGTGGCACATTTGCAAGGAAGCTGGCTGGATTGTTAGGTAGTCCATTGCTGGAAAATAGCTGCGTGGTTTTGGGAGATTCACTTAGTTTCAGTGAGCCTTAATATTTTTGCCCAATAAAGTGCAGATAATGTCAACCTCACTAGGTTGCTACAAGTCATGAATAAGGAGTTTTAGACAGTGTTAAGCATGTGGCATGTGTCACAGAGCTCATTATAATGCTGCCAGCAAACACCTTTCAAGGAAAACAAGATTCAAAGTATACTTGTAACCAGCAAATCTTTAAATCTTGGATAGATGTATCAAAGAGGTAACAGTTCAGCAATTGTACTTAACTCACAATAGTTTATTGATTACTAAAAAGAAGCTTCATTTTATGAAACAGTAATTTCCAACAAGCTCAGAGGAAAAACAAAAGGGTAGAAATTCACGATTTGTGAAATACATAGTGCCAGGATTGAGTGCTATATTCAGAATGGAAAAATAAAACTGTGTGTGTGGGAAAAAAGAAAAGAAAGGTGTTCTGTTAGGAGACAAAGTTTTGCGCAATATTAGAAAAAAAAAATCCAAGATTTCCAAATAATTTAGTTACTAAATAGCATAGCTTCTGTAGTAGGCAGGATAATGCCCCTCCCCACCAAACAGTCCTCCAGCTCCTCATAACCATAACCTGTTGATATGTTATGTTATATGGCAAAGGGTAATTGATGAAGGAATCAAAGACACTGAACAGCTGAAAGTAAGCTGAAGAGAGTACCCAGGGTAGTCTGGTGGACCAACAAAATAATGTAATCACAAGAGTCCTTATACAGCAGATCAAGAGATGCTAGGAAACTAACACAGCTTCATTTGGATGTTGTATGCTCTCCCTTACAGATGTCCAAGCAGAGTCAGGCAAGTTATTCACTGCACATGAAAGTAGGTAAAATGGCAAAGCTTATCAGACAGATTGCCTAATTGAATCTGCAAAAGCAGGAGTCCTTAAACGAAGTCTAAGAGAAACTCCTGCATGCACATTTTTTTTAATGAAACCACAAATGCACCCCTTTCTCTGTAGAGTCTGCTTAAAGCAGTTTCTCAAAAGGATCTGTTTTACACACAAGTTAAAAACACTCGTCCTAGATTTTTTTCCAACACTGAGCTTTAACTATTCCGTGTGACTAAGGCATGGAGTCTCAGAGTAGCCCATGAGACACCAACATAAAACATTAAAACTCACCTAAGTTTGTTTTTTAAATGCAGATTGCTGAGCTCCATCCCAGACAGAATCTCTGGGAGCTGTAGGAAAGTTAAATCCTTGACACCGTTCGGGGTGGGGGGGTGGGGGGACGGGGGAGGTGGAGGAGGAAGTCAGGGAATTCTGTACACAAAGAATCACTGCTCCAAGAAGTGTTTTATGAAAAATTATAGTGAAGAAACTGAAATATTTCACATCACCTAATCTTCAGACATCTCAGTAGTCATTTTACTTTGTAACTCTTTACCTTATTTTTTTCTGAGCTTCAAGTTGCGCAAAATAGGTAGACAATGTCTACAGTGCCAAATTTTTATTAAAATTCATTCTGTGATGTGCCAGAACAATGACTGGGAGGTATGTCATACTCAGAAAATGTTAGTCCTAGTACCCTACCACTATCCCATGTGAAGAAAAATAATGCCCAGCATACTACAGCATTACATACTGTCAGATAATAATACGGCCGTACTGTGTCAATATCACTACTAGATGCCAATTTTGTAGAATAAACTTCTTGGTATGATTCCTCTCCTAGATTTGCATTCTTTCAAGCCCATTTTGGATTAAAACATTTTCCCAGCCCTATGTCTGTGATTCAGTAGACATTTACAAATTAAAATTAAAGCTAATAAGGGGGGAGGAAGACAACTAGTCTCGTGGAGCAACCGGAGAGATCTGAAAGATCCCCCCAGCGACCAGCGAAGCGAACGAATAGGAGTGACAGCGGCTTTGAATTTCAGCAACCATGGGCAGCTTTCCCCCATCCGAGATGCTTGACATCCCTAAAGGAACATGAGACGTGACTGGAAAGAGACTTTAGAGAAGGGGCTTAGGACCTCTCTCCACGACTCACAACACGAATTTCACGGCAAGGTCACAGAAAAGGCTTAACAACGATGGGAGCCAGCGACTGAGTCAAGTGCTCCCAGCTCCCAAGAAAGGCCTTCGAGGCAAGCACTAGGCCAAGTCTGCAGGCTTCTCCCCGAGGAGAGATGTTCAGGGAAGCCCAAATCCCTTTACACCCAGAGGCAGGCCCTCAATCAAAAAGCCCCTGACCCAGGCCCATAGCTCAGCTAGAAAGCAGCTGAGGGTACCCCGGTCACTCACCCCAGAGCCACTGCGTATTGTGAAACCATCTCCAACTAGCTGAATGGCCGACAGACCACCTAGCAGCCCCACCGACCAGACCCGGGCTTCGCCGGCCCCGGAGGCCCACGAGGTAGCGCAGCACCCGCGGGTCACTGCCGAGCCTCCAGGAGGCCGCCATCTTCCCGGCCTTCTCCCGGGGTGTCCGCGGCGCCGCCTGAGCGCTCAGTCATCAGGCTCCTCCCAGGCCCCGCCCCCAGGGGGGGCCCGCCGGGCCTTTGACTCCCGGAGTCTCGCGCTCCTCGGCCCCGCCCCCGGCCTCCTCGGCCCCGCCCCCGGCCTCCTCGGCCCCGCCTGCCAGTCAGGCGACTGCGCCGCCGCCTGTACGGGAGACGAGGACCCCCCCAGGCCCGCCTCCCGCCTCCCGCCTCATCCACTCCGCGTCCGGGCTGCCCGCGGCGCCGCCTGATTGCGCGTGGGGCCTCGCTGCACAGACCCAGGTAGAGCGCGGCACGTAACGCCCTGCGCAGATTGGAAGCCGAGGGTGCCCCCCACTCCTGCCATGTCTGGTTGTCGCGCTACGGAAGGAGACTGCTGCTCGGAGCGTAACGGCGCGCAGGTAGGGGCGGGGCCGCCGTGCCCTTAATTCCCAGGAAACGAGACGCAGGTGGCGGCATCATGGCGGAACCTGGAAAGGGGGCGGGGCCACGCGCCGGCTGGGCGGGGCCACGCGCCGGCTGGGCGGGGCTTCTGGCCGGACCGGAAGCGGTTGCCGCCCACCTCCACGTCCACCTCCATGTCCACCTCCATCTCGGTTGCTGACTTTGAACCGGCTGCTGTCACCGCTTCGGCGTTGCTCTCTCCGGTGGCGATAGCTGAGCGGCACACGTCGAGAAATAAAAATGATGGAGCGAAAAGAGCACTTGATGTTTTAAGTGTCAAGCCATAGCAGCACAGGTGAAGTGCTCATGCAAGGGTTACTCTGCAGACCCAGAGCCATGCCTCAGTAGCCAGCACTTTTCCTCTGAGCAGGAGACAGGCTCTGACAGGCTCTTTGCCTGTCGCAGTTTAAGTGGCATGGGTATAGAAACGATTCTTTCTTAAGCAATCCTTTCCTTAAGGAAATCCCCCCTTGGGCAGCAAATCTGTTTCATTAAACACAGTAACAATTTTATGAAACATTTTCGTCATGCTTAGAGAGACAGTGGTGATTGAGACAAGTGAGCAAGGGTATGTAGGTAAATATGGAAATAAACGCACTACAATGTGAGAAGCCCTGCTTCAGAGCTACGGAAAGCCCCCTAAAATTAGCCCACTTTATTTGTCCCGTTAGTCTTTCATAGGACTGAAGGTCTCAATTAAAATGTAGTAACACGCAGCAGGTTATTATTGCTTAATACTCGTCTATTGTATGTTAAGTGAGTAAGTGACTTCCCCTAGACTAACAAAACGACTCTATGAGGATAGAATGCTGGACAGGCAAGATTGAATAGAAAGGGAGACTATGTTGGATACAGGACTGACAACTCCAAATAGCTCTTAGGCAGGCTGTGAGGAAGATGAGGAATTTAAAAGCAACCTGTTCTTAGAATCATTGCTAAGATCTTTAGCGCATGTGTTCATGCCCCAATAAGTAAATCTTGGTGAAACATAATCTAAATGAACATTAAAAAGTGCCTCACAAGGGATCCGAGGAACATGGCCCTTAGACAATTTGGTGGACATGCATGTTTGTTCCAATCAAAGGTCATAAAAATTTTGAACCAACATAATCAAAATCCAAAATATTTCCAATTTCTTTTAAAACTTCAGAATATATGATGGCATTGGCACTTATTCCTTCATGAATAAGTGACTCTGGGTTCAGCTGACTAGTGAGTATCCCCTTAAAGGGGACACGTGTTTGCCTGTCTGCCCCAGCTCCACTACTCACACTAGATTTCTGTTGGCACCTAAATATGTTAGCCCCTCTAGTCACTTATGTTTACCTGGTTTTAAGCAAAGAAACAAGTAGAGCAGTAAGAAGAGTTTTAAGAAATCATAAAAGTTTACTGTAGTTTTGGCAGGTTTGTGGGCAATTGAGAATCAATCTCTAAGCTTAAGGAAGAGAAATATTCAATTGTAAGTGAATAATTCACAAGTATTTAGTGATTGCCTACTGTATGCCAGATGTTGTGGATCAAGAGTGCAAACCACATGTTTACTTTCCCCATAGAGTATGGCATGTAGCGAAAGATACACATAATTGAAAAGATAAGGATAATATGGTATTTATTCTATGATGAAAAAGTTAAAAATATGATAAGAACAAAGACATGGATGAGTTAGCAAATACCTCATCAGGAAACGACGATATCAACCAAAGCCTAAAGGATCAGAAAGATGAAACTATGTGAAATGGAGGTAAGGGCTTTCCAGATAGAGAAATAGCATGTCGAGTCTGGTGGCTTCTCATATTGAGATAAGTTTGGTGTTAGTGGAATATAAAGTAGGGGATAAGGACTTGGGAAGAGATGAGACTAATGAGGAAAACAGGACCTGAGGCTGCAATCTTACAAGCCAATGCTACAAATACTGTAGCATTTGGTCCTCAGGGCAATAAAATGACCAAAAACATGACAAAAAATTTTGGAGACAAAATTAGTAAGTTGTAGTAACACAGATTAGAGCTAAAGGTAGCCTGAGTGAGGGATTTAGGCAGTAAAATTAGGAGACTTAGTTATTGATTGAGAAGTCACGTAGAAAGAGTTCTAAATTTCTAATGGAGTGTTTGGGGCTTGGTGGTCCATATTACTTTGCCTTTTCAAAACTGTTTACTAGATTATGAGCTCCTCAAGTGTAAGGATTTTTGTCTTACTTGTATTCATTTCTTTAGGGCTTTAAGTAAAAGTATATTGAATGAACTGTTGTAGCTAGAGCAAATGCCAGAGCAAATGAGGAAGGAGTGATGACTTCCTGCTGGGAAGAAAAGGAATCATGGGTGAAATGAGTGGGTAACTTGGTGTAAAGGCTCACGGTGGGAATTTGACCGGTAGAGTTGGGATAATCAGAGATCCAGCATAAGCAGTAACAGCACAAAGAAAAACATTTCTCTGGCTGGCAAGAAAATTGGCTTAGTTATCTGTTGCTGCACAAGAAGTACCCTAAACTTAAAACACAAACATTTGTTTCACCCAGTTTCTGAGGATTAGGAGTCCAGGAGAGTTTAGCTGAGGTCTGATTCAGGAGAGGCAGCAGTCAAGCTGTCATCTGGAGCTGCTGTCATGTCAACTCAAGGCTCAACTGCTGCTGGAGGATCTGTTCTGTTCCTCACTGGCCCTAGACCTCAGTTTTTGGCACATGGCCCTACTGCATAGGCTGAGTCCCCCTGTGACATATAGCTGGCTTACCCCAGAGCAGTTGATCCAAAAGCCAGCAACAAAAGCTGAAGTTACAGCCATTTATAACCCAATCTCAGAAAGAACATACTATCATTTCTGCCCTACACCTGCCCCCCTTTCATCTGCCACCATTTACAATGTGGGAAGGACTGTTGTTCATCGGGTGAATAACACCAGTTGGCAGGGATCATCAAGAGCCATCCTGAAGGTTGACTGCCATGACTCAGTTGAACAGAATTGAGGAATTTATATAAAAAAGTGAAGAAAAATATTTTGTTAAATTGGTGCAAGAAAGCAGAACTTAACTAGAACAAAAAACACAGTATTTGAGCATTAAATGATTTAAGGAATGGAGTTCAGTGACCAAATTATGTTACTTTAGCACTAACACTAGAACTAAGGGTAAGTTGGAGTAAAAGGAAAAGTTGTAGACAAGGAACCAATTAGGAAAAGATAAATTTAATCCTCAAGTATTTGTCCCTGAACGTTGTTATTCAACTGTTGCAAAATAAGAAAAATAAAGACAATGGAAAAGCTAGGCTTCCCAATATTAATTGCTTTAAATTTAAAAATCTACCACTAATCTGAAGTTTTCCTTCCTACTCTTTTTTACGTTAAAAATTCCCTTTATTTTGTGAGAAAGGTGACTATAATTAATATCAAATGACTATATATAATTAATATCAAATTTAGCAACCTAATAACAGACCCTAAAATTTAAAAACAGCAAAAAATGGTTGGTCTTGGAATTTAGAAGTCTGCAAGTCACTGATCCACCTTAGTAATATGAGGGAGCTGAAACCCAGGAAGGGTCACTGATTGTCTTCAAGGTGCTCAAGAGTGGGGCTCAGATCCACATCTTTTGATTCCTAGTCACTGCTTGACAAATGTGAGGAGGTTTTAAGTGTGGTGGAAGTGGAAGGAGATACAGGATTGACTGCTGAAGATTTCTGGGAGAGCCAAAACTGCAATTAACTTAAGTCTGGTTTTGGTGACATGGGGCTTAGCATAAGTGACTCCATGTGGGGCCTGTTGTTTTGTTTGTAACCTTTTGAAATACTGTTAAGTGTTTTTCCATCACTTACAGTGGAACCTCTAGTATAAAGCAGTTGATTATAGCCCATTTTTAGGTACAGCTTTCTTAAAATTCTTACTCTAATTACAAGCCAGCTCTATCAATAAAAGACAACATTCAGGGGAAAACTAAACACTATTAACTAAACCTTTCTTCTTATCATGTTTAAATATATACTCTGATTTATACTTTCTTATATTGGACAATAACTGCATTTTTACAAATATATCCCTCCGTTCCTGCTGATAGGTGATGATTTTCCTTAAAATTGTAATTTTTTTTGGCTTGAACAATAGAATTCAACTTTATTAACAGCAGCTGCCATATCATTGTTATTTCTGTAGCATGAAGCTGCTAATTACTATAATACCTCAGTACTAGAAAAGATAAGAGGGAAAGGGGAGACCCATAATCACAGAGCATTTTCTATACTGTTTGCAACTTGCTGTGCAAATTGATGGTTTTAAGGATTGGGAAACTGCAGGAGTCTTCTCTTTAGAGAAGACTCATCTATATACCCCTCCCCCCAAAAAAAGGAAATAGCAAATTATCTGCACCATGGATACTCTTGGCTAGATTTTGTAAGGGCAGATATTTAAAAAAAACAGCCTGGTTTTATTACTAATTTTAACTGAAGAATTTTTAACTCATTAAAATGCAAAGGAAACAAGTATTGACTATGTCACACATTGTGCTGAGAGTTTTATGTCTGTTATATCTCATTTTAATCTTCACCATGTTCTCATTTATGGATGAAGAGTAAATTAAAAAGCCAAAATCATGTTAAGTAGTAAATGGTGTGATGTGGATTTGACTTTTATTTCCCTTAACTCCTTTGCCTGTATCAAATCAGAACTTTAATTTTTCAACAGTCCCATATTTTATTATATATTTTGAAGGCTATTTCAAGTGGATTATATAAAATGTCAACAGTGAATTTGGAAAAACACCACAATTTCAGGTATCCAGTTAAATGGCTGAAAGTCTGTTCAATAATCATACCTTTTAAGACTCAAAGGCACTTTTCCCCACTCCCCATTGCCAAGATTAATCTACACAAGCTTTCTTGCTGTGCTTCTCTGTGCTGTGGGTCTGTCTCTTGTTCACTCTTACCTTGAGGGTGCATAGCCTCATGGGTTCTTCCTGTTTATGTAAGAATTTTCTATTAGATGCCTCACTTTGAGCATGCTGTAGGTTTTAACTAGTGGTTTCCTTAGTTATCAAAATTGAATCTCAAGGTCACCAGCAGTTTGCAAATATCTTCAGGGAAATCATGGCTTTGGAACTCACTTCCCTGACAGCTAGTCTTAATCTCGTTTCTTTTATGGCTCCTATGAAACTTTGCTTTCTTACACTTTAGCAATTTATTTTGAAATATATTTTAAATAATTTATTCAGCATTTTTACTTGTTTTCAAGGTAAGGGTTATATATCATACTGCCAAAAATAGTATTCATTGTATTTCTTTTTTGTTTTTTTCATTAACTTAAAAAAAAAGAAGAAACATTGGCTTATTTTTTTCTAAAGAAGTAATCACTAAGCTTATAAAAATTAGGCTGGATGTTTCTCCCTACATAGGAACATATGTCCCTTTAGACACATCTTTATAGAATGGACCCAGAATTAATTGTGATTGTTTCTGAGTGAGTGCTTTTTATGTTCTATTCCATAATGAGTCTGGATTGCTTTTGTAATAAGAGAAAACAATATAATACTATGGAAAAAATACACATTTTAGTACAAAAATAAAATTGAACCCACCATACAGAACATGAACAAATAGCTATCATAATATTTCATGTGTATCATGCCTTATTTGAATAACGCGTTTTGCATAAAGAAATTTTCTGGACACACTGAGGCATGTTCCTTTTGGCTCCTAATTCTTTTTTATTCCATCCATTTCAGTAGATATTTGTGATATATAGGGGACATTTCTCCACCTTGTGCTTGCAGCCTCTTCCATAGTGTTGGATTGTACTGTCCTGTACTCAGTAACCCAGTTGTCAAATAATATAGATCCACCTTCTAAACATTAAAAATGTAAAGTATGTTTTATAATAGTTTTGTCCCTCACTATACTCTCTGTCTATGGTGGGTTTTCTTAAACTTCCTTAATAGAAGTGTCAGCTAGAATATCACTTGATAAAATGTCTGTCTTTTTAAGGACAAGGAACATCCGAGACACCTGATCCCAGAGCTTTGCAAACAGTTTTACCATCTGGGCTGGGTCACTGGGACTGGAGGAGGAATTAGCTTGAAGCATGGGTAAGTTCCTGGCTGATTTCATTGCTGAGAATTCTCCATGTCAGTGGACTGCAAAAGCCTAGCATGTGTTATGTCCTAAGAACAATTGAGCAGTTTTATGGGATACTGTAGGTATTTAGCTTCTAAATGGAGAAAAGGATATTTGCATAATTGAATGGAACAAGTGTGCATAATTTGCACTTATAATAAATATGGAAGGATTTATAATAAAACCACAGTGTCTAATCAAAATAATTGATTTCTCAGTCTTCAGAGTAGCAGAGTTAAATAACTTGCTGCCAAGTATGTATATGTGTGTGGAAATATAAACGGTTCCCTCTCAGTAAACAGGATTTGTTTCAGAGGTTTACATACAAATTTCAAAATCACTTAAATGTAGATTACTAACATTAAAAATCCTAAAAATTATGTTTAGCGAGTCAAAAGAAAAGCAGTGTACATCTGTAAGTGCTGGTGTCCTTGTTAATGGACATAGCAGCTGCTGGTCTGCTATTTAATTGTTCATTAGAATTATTCATTGTCCTCCCTCCAACAGGATGAAGAAATAAGTAACTTACTAATGCTGAAAACAGTGTTGGTGGAATATCTGGAATAGTATTTCTGGAATAGAATTAATGTTTTTCCCCCTGAAATGTTTTAGGAATATTATTATCTGGAGGTTGAGTGTTAAACTGAGTAGATTGATTTATTGCTTTATGCTAATTCACCTTTTTTAGCAAAATTAGAATACTACAATATTTATATACTAATGAGTATATGTAATAACACCCCCAAGGGGACGGCAGGAAGGAAAGGAATGGAATGTAAAATACAGCCAGAGCATTTTGAACAAAAGGGATTTTATGCATACTGCAGGATGATGTCATTGTAATTTTCTCTTCAGTGACCTCATGAAATATTAATTGAACTGTGGGAGCCGACAGGAGGGGGCCTTGGTCAACAAATGTCACAGTTCACCTGTGGGGACGCACTCATCTGCAAAGGTCCAGCTCCCCCTGATAAATCATCATCCATCCATCCACACCCCTTGCCTCTGACCCTGTGCTAATTCAGCGCTTCATAGGCTTTCAGATTATTTTGCCAAAACCTCCAATTTGACCTGTTTACAGCAAAGTCCTTTGATGACAACCTTTGATATTACTGTCTCATTCATCCACGTAGGAGCTGAGTTCCAGTAATTTGATTTCTCAAATTATTATTTGTAGTAAATTATGCTGAATGTTGCCTTTAGTTGACTACTCTTTATTTGCATTAGTGTATTAAATGCAGAAGTAGTTTGTGTACAAATAGGAATTCCTACAAAGCTGAAATAACTATTTCTATCTGACTCTTTTAATGAAGAATGGCAAAGTTAAAAGTAGAAGAATGCAGCTAAGGGGCCATTAGGAACCTCCAGATGAAACTTTTGTGGTCACCCAAATATAAAGGACTATGCTCTTTCTAGAAGAATCTTACTAATCCATGCATTGGCATTGTGTGTGGCCACCATAAAATCATCACTGCCACCTTTTAAAATTAAATGGCTTTTATAGCAGTACAATCAATTTATAGGCAAGTTGCATCATATGTGTAGTTTTTTCTTAAGAGCCTTAATGAGTGAGGAGCTCCTCCTAGAGGTCGTAGTTGGAAACAGCCACAATTTTAAAGTACTCTTTCGGGAGTCGGTTAAATTTGTGTGTTCCAGATAAAATGGATGTTTTGTAGTAGATTGTTGAATGTATTATTATTATTTAAATAAATTCCTAAGTTCACATCAAGAACTTGATCAGCAATGTTGTTCTTATGCTCTTAGTGAAAGTTTGGTTTTCTTTAAGCAAGTACATTTGGAATGAAGTACAAATCCACTAGATTGTTTTCAAAAAAATATTGATTGTAAGCTCTTTGGGATTAATAAAATTATTTAATGATTCCAAGTTTTGGGTAAAACCATTCCAGCTTATGCTACTGGTGTGTGGTACCAAGAGATATATAGAAAGGTAGGCTAAGTCACATGTGAGACCTAAATCAGTAGGAAGAAATGGAAGACCAAGAAAATAAGAGTTATCAAGGCAATAAATCCGGGGTAATCAGAAGTCGTTGTGTTTAGTTTGGGTCCACACCAAATTTAGCAGTTTCTTGTTTTCACAGCATAGTCAGGAGACACTAACCCTGATTTATGCTATTAGAATTAAAATAAATGAAATGTACCCGGTAAATAAGATAGTTGAGACATAGTAAGATTTAAATATTTTGAAGTGAATAAAAATAGAAGTGAAGTGAATAAAAATAGAAGAAATTGTTTTTGAAGTAAATAAAAATAGAAGCAATTGTTCATAGATATATTATGACTGCTTGTCCCCCTGATTACCACATTGTGAAAGAGCAGGGAGTATAAAGAAATAAATTCCAAAATTTAACACCTTGAAATTCAAAACACCTTTTGTTTGTGGCTTACAGTACCAGCTAAATAGTACACTTTTAGTCTTTGGCATATTTCCCTCCTAGACTAAAAGCTCTGTTATTTTTATCCAGATAGCTTTTTTTTTTTTTTTTAACAGGTGTAGATATATTTTTTAAAAGCTTTTTAGTTAATCTTTTAACTACCCAACGTTGATCGAAGTCTAAATTGATTTCTGTTTTACAAAGGTAGTGATAAAAACAGATTTAGTGGACCAAATCACTTGAATAAACAAAATAAATGCTCTGGATTGTCCTACTTGTAGTAGGTTTTATTTACCACCAGACTGTTTTGTACTTCGTTTGGGTCTGTTCCCAGCACTGCATCCAATTCTCCTCACAAGAAATCCCACATGTCCATTTAGCAGTGAAGGTGAGTGGACTCTGTACCACACATGAGTCTAGGGTTTCTTCATGTTACACAAAGACAAAAGATTTGAATCCCTGGTATTTGTAAATATATTTGACATATATATTTAAATATAAATATAAGATGATATATATATATATCATCTTCTTAACAAGATGATCCCTACCCATCCCTCTGGTTCCAGAAGAATGCCATGCTAAGGTTCTCTTTTGCAACAAAACTCCGAAGCAGGAGCTGCTTCATGAAGACAAATGCTTTGCCTTGCATTTCACTCTATAACCAGGCCTTAATTCTATACCTTCATTTACAACTGGGCCCTTAAAGAAATTCTCAACTAGTCTTACATTTTTGTCAGCTCCAAATCTATAGGTTTATTAATAACCACAACTTTGACAGCTTAATTCAGTATAGGCCATCATCCTCTTCCTCACCTTGAAACCATTAATATTTGATCAGAGTCCTCTCTCCTTGCCTTAGTGGCAAAAGCTGGAATGTGTAGGTGCTGACATTTCCTTCATTTGCATGTTATATGGCAACTCTTAAGACCCAACTGAAACTGATAAATGAGCCAGAGTGTTCTTGTTGAGGATAAAGAGAATTTAGAGGCAATGTTTTGTTTGTTCTTTTCGTTTAGCGGTGACTTTGAAATTAATTTCCAACTCCACTTTAAAAGCACGTTGTGGTAAATGGAGCGTAGAGCATTCCCAGTAGCACAACCTGTAGCAGAGAAATCTCTAAATGGAGCCATTTCTTTTTAACTTTTTGTTTTTAACTTTTTGCAGTTGCTTTAGCCTTGTTACCAGATATTTTTACAAGATAGATGTGTGTTTCCAATAGGAAACATCCTATTATATTTCCCCACGAAAGTGTTCCTGCTGTAATTTAACAAAACCCCCAGCAGAGGTCTCTAAACTTCATGTTTTATAGGAGCATTTCAAACAATAAAGTTAAACCTGATTCCTTGCAAGACAGAAACCTGCTCCTAATGAGCATATTTTTCCTTGACTGGATTATAGAATAACTGTATTTGACATATAATAGGATAAACTCTGCTTATTCATGCCTAAGGATGCTAAAGATGTATTTTCAGATTTTTATTTCTCCTAACCTAATTAAAGCCTGGTTATAATTGATTTTGTACTGTAAAAAGAAATACATATGAAAGCTTAAAACCCAAAAGCAAGTACCAACATATAACTATGTCATCGTCATTACAAAGACATTAAAATAATTTGGTAATCTTTCTATACAGCCTATACCATTAATTCAATCAAGCAACTATTTATATGACTTAGTTTATAAAAAACATTATTGATTTGACTGCAAGGATATTTTTCTTTGTGCAAAACCAGAACATTAGAATTAAATAAATACCAATTTCTTTATTTTTTTGTATTACCAGCAATGAAATCTACATAGCTCCTTCAGGAGTGCAAAAGGAACAGATTCAGGTATGGTAAAGGGATCCATAAAGCCAAATGTCTTTTCTTCTCTACTTGACTACTGACTTGTTAAAAGGAAATGATTTTAAAAGAGATGTTAGTTTTGTAAAGTGATTTTGTTGTGAGTATTTAAAATGACCAATCAACAAATATTTGCTGAAAAACTAGTTAAAATTTTTTTTTCAGCAAACATTTACTGATTTGTCATTTTAACCTCTAGAAAGTAAAAGTGAATAGTATAATCATAACTGAAAATGAAAAGTGATTACAATTTTGCAGCTTTCTAATACTATCTTTATCAGGCTAGTAAGGTAATCAGATTGGTCTCAAATGAAGCAAAATGATTCACATTTAATAACAGCAAAGCTATTCCAATTTGTTATAAACTTCATTTCAAAATTGTAAGATGAGTCATTCTGTATTAATGCTAGAGTAATACCCAAAATCTAGTTAAAATGACCATAACACTTCTCTCTAGGGCATAATGCTTCATTAATAAAATACTTATATTGAAGTTTGTAGTAAACCCTGGCAAATGAAGGATCCAAGTCAGAAATATGCATGCATTACTACAAAAATCTGCCCATATATGTGATTCCTCAGAACTTTAAGAATAATATACCTTATTAGATCAGTATTTCTCAATACCAGTTAAGTTTCTCAGGGGATAGAAATTTTTACGCTATGCTTTTCCTCTTTTTTTTTTTTAAAGATTTTTTTATTCATACATACAAGAACCGGGACACAGGTCAGATGTGCAGGAGGGTGAGAGGATTCACCAGAGACAGAGCGGGGAACAGAATAGGCAGACTGAGTGAAATACACTGCTGAGGGGAGCAGTGGGTGAGACAGGAGAGGTCTGCCACGCCATGTGGGTTTCTTGCTGGCTGGCTGGTATCGAGCCGTGCTGTAGAGGCTGCGGACAGCTTCACAGCGCTGCGCTCAAACAGGGGAGGCCCTGTTTTTCCTCTTATGAAATGTGAGGGAAAAGTTAAAAAAATCCCTCTGGATAATTTCTTAATTTTGTCTCCCTAAAATATAGTTTTGGGGCCACCCATGGTGGCACAGGCAGTTGAGTGCCGCACTATGAAGCTGTCCGCAGCCTCTGCAGCGCGGGTTCGATCCCAGCCAACTGGGCAAGGGTCCCACATGGCGCAGCAGACCTCTCCTGTCTCGCCCGCTGTTCCCCTCAGCAGTGTATTTCATCAGTCTGCCTGTTCTGTTCCCCGCTCTGTCTCTGGCGAATCCTCTCATCCTCCCGCACATCTGGCCTGTACTCCGGTTCTTGTGTAAATAAATAAATAAAATTTAAAATATATATATATATCTATATATAGATATATATATATATACAGTTTTGAAATTATAGACAAGTTGAGAGGCTAAGCTGATGAAATGACAGCAGCATCTTTATACCCATTTCTCCTTCAGTTTCTAAGGGAAGATTTAACTCTTTCGATAATATTCTTATTAATAGAAAGTATTCTTTATTTCTCAAAATGGCTAAAAATGGAGAAAACATGAGACATTTAAAATTATTAAAAAGTGTATATACATTTATGTCAGCACTGTGTGACATTTGCATTGATGTCGTATAAGCCTCCTTCATTTTTCTCCCTTTCTAAATAGCCTGAAGACATGTTTGTGTGTGACATAATTGGGCAGGACATAAGTGGGCCTCCACCGTGTAAGAAGCTGAAGAAAAGCCAGTGTACTCCTCTATTCATGAATGCTTACATAATGAGAGGTAGGCAGAACATGTACTCAACATAAAGAAAACTTCACAACTCCCCTAAATAATGGTAATTATGATCAGAGTTAAAGTTTCTTGAATACCTACTATGTGCAGGAACTTTGGATGGGTTAACCCATTCAGTTCTCTCATCAGCCTGTGACAAAAGTCTGGCAATACTCCCTTTTATGTAAGTGGGCAGAGACTCTGGGAAGACTTCCCCAAATTAAATAGCCAGTGAGTGTTCGGGCCAGAATTCCAACGCAGGTCAGCCTGACTTCCCTAGATTGTCAGAATGACTGGCTACATACTATGTTTACAATCAGATTCCCATTCTTAGCTAAAAGTTATATGTCTGGGAACTTGTAGTAGAAGTCAATCAAATGAGGGAGAACTATGGCCTTTGTTTCAGTGGAAGTGGTCCTTTCTTTTTGAAAAATTTATTGTATGATGATAATAGGAGTCTTATTCCAGTTACCAAAATTGTACTAGAAAAACAGCCTGGAAAGGTGGACCCTCGATGACGACATGAAAATAGAAAATTGTAACTGAAGTACTGTCTCAACTGCAGCAATAAAGTCATTATAAATGAAATACGTATATTTATTTAACAGAGCCACTTTCCTATAGCCACTGAATGAATGCTGAGGGAGGAACCATGCTGTGTTCCTTTCCTGGATATTATCAACCAGAACTGAAGGATATAACTTTCAGGGACGGATTATAACAGCGTAAAACTAAATTAACTTCCAACTAGCCATTACTGAATTTTATAGCATGCAAATAACTTCTTAGGTAAATCCATCACTTCTCTGCCTAGATATCCTCACCATCCCTTCTGTTACCAAGACATGGACTGAGCTGAGAAGCCTAACTTGGTGACAGAAGATCAGAGTACCTAGGTCCACATTCAAGTTCTGCCTCTTGTGAACCACACAAGTTATTTCACTTCTCTCAGCCTCCATCCTTGACCATCATAACGGGGAAATAGGATCTGCTTCTGTGGTTATAGTGAAACTGCAAAGAGATAAAATTTAAAGGGGGGTTGTCCAGCTGCTGGCACATTGGCATCTCATTAGCTGTAGCATTAGGATTATCACGTCCATATTTATTATAGTTGTACTTCAGACCATCTAAAAGATATTTCTGGAGCATGTATAAAGCAGTATGTTTTGTCCAGATGCCAGATAAAGTTTTTTTTTCTTTTCTTTCTAACTTTTCTATCAGTATTTTTTCTTCCTTCCCTTACCCTCCTTATCCACCAGTTTATTATTCCAGGCCAAGGAAAAACAAGTCGATGCCCATATGTAAATATTTATGTGTGTTTGTGTATAAGTGTGTATATGCTTCTTTGAAAGGTAAAATTTCATTTTCACTGAGCATGTGACGTTATTCCTCTCCCAGGAGCAGGCGCGGTGATCCACACCCATTCTAAAGCCGCTGTGATGGCCACCCTCCTCTTTCCAGGACGCGAGTTTAAAATTACACATCAAGAGATGATAAAAGGAATAAGGAAATGTACCTCAGGAGGGTATTATAGGTATTTTTTTTCAATTTTTGCTTAAATAATTCGAAAAGCATTTCTCCTTCTTTTGATAAACAGGATAACTGATCTTTTTCTGCATTTTATGAGATGTTGTGGGATCTGTGTTAAATAATACCCCATTTAATATTATACTTCCAGATCTGTTCTCAGTGACACAAATCAGATACGGCCCCTCCTCCTCCTCCAGCCAGACTGGGTAAATTATAAGCAACAGGAATAATGAAGTGTTTGTCAGAGTAACATAAAAAAACTTTGGCTGAGATTTCTGTAGAGATGGAGAGATTATGTTCCTCTGTTGAGGCACCCAAAACAGCAAGATCACCTCATTTCACTTTGTCTTTCAGAAGTTTCAGCTCAAACTACAGTTTATAGTTTGTTTTGATTTGTTACTTGTGGAGTATTTTCATTTCTGTAAGCATTTTGCGAATTATTTAAATTGTTAAGTAGGCCTCTATTTTTAGGATTTTTCAGTAAAAAAAGCTTTTTCATTGGAAAAGCATAAGTGGTATAGAACAGAGGCTGTCTAGATAAAAATCAAATAAACCCTTCAGCCCATAAAAACCTAATTATTTGTAAATCTGGACTCAAGTGACGTGAAGAAGCATGTTCCCAAGCATTTCACTCGGATGTATTGGCATTCTTACGCCTGAGCCTTCACCCTCCTGACTTCCCAAAGGCCTAATTCTCCCTTGCCTTGTTTAGAAGAAAAGTTGCCAGTTATTATAGTAATATCTTATTGTTACTGCATGTTGTCGAACGTACATGTTTAAACTAGTGTGCAAAGAAATTAATTGATTTGAGTTAATATTTATTGTGTGCCCAAAGCATTTCTCAGCACTGTGAAACACCTATTTACAACTGTTAAATATTTAAGTTATGAAAGTGTACATACTAGAGAAAGTATAGCCCCTTTTGCCTTTCCTGTATCTGGGTCTTAAAGGAGAGGCATTACGTGTGCTATCAATGTCATTGGCATTTGATTACTTTGGCAAAGAAAAGAAAAATCAGTCAAGAGAATATGTGAGAAGGTAGGTGGAAGAACAGCACAACAGAGAGCCTTTGGAACTTTGTGGAAGAAAGAACACGAATGAAAGATGCCATTTGTTATGTGACACATACAGTCTATGTGTTGTTTGGAATGTTTCACAGTTTACAGAATACACACATTTTGGAGATGCTGATTGCGATTCTATTTATGGGAAATCAGTAGCTGGGTCAGTCACAGCTCTGGGAGTGCTGATATCAGAATTTGGGGAGGATGCTGAGTCGTTTCAAAAGAAGGTGGGATGGAATAAAAAAAATTTTATATTCTCTATATTTTTTTATAAATCCATCTTTTAAAAGTGAAAACTTTCAAGTACCCTAGTTCTTATCAGGGAAGGTTACCATCTTTAAATATAATGGGCCTCCCTTTTGGAAACCTCATACCTATGGTAGAGTAAGGACACTATATTTGACCTTCAAAAGACTATTCTAGCTCTCTTTCTCATTGCCTTAGGAGGATTTGTGTGCTGTTGACAAATTCAGTGCTTTGGATGGACTTAGCTTTCTTTCTGACTATTCAATATATGCTAGTGGAAAATAAAAATCTGTGGTTCTCCTGGCCAATACTAGGGAAGATTTGAGACTAGCAATTCATCCCTTACATATTCAAGAATTTTACTTAAGTGAGACAATGGGCAACTTCATACTGTTTACAATAATGGTTGGCCAACTTATCACAGGACAGCTACAAAGCCTATACCTGCCCTAAATTAGTGATTTCTGAGATTCTTTCGCTAGAAGTGTTGTTTTGATGTTGTTGTTAAGACATTATAGAGGTAGTAAAAAAGCAGATGTTACAATAACAAGGCAAGAAAAATTCCTGTGAAAAGGAAAACATCTGCGTTTTGATTACTTATAAATGACTTCAGGGATAGACTTAATCTTTCCAGTAACAAAGTCGTTTGCTTAAATATTATTACTTGAACAGAAAGGAAGATGCGTGTTCCGATTTCATCACATGTATTTACCAAAAACAAGGATGGCAATAAAAGAAGTTCTGAGGCCACAGATTTGAGAACACCCCGAAAATGTTTACCTTTACTAGTTTTCTCCTGGAGGTTCTTGCTATCCCACTGCCATAAGCCATACCTGTATTGGCTAGATGAGACATAGTAAGGTCCTACAGAGGTAAAATAAAATTATTTTATATCATTGAGAAATTCCTCCTTAATAAGTAGTTCAACTGTTAATCCTTCCCACTCTTCTGATTCTGAGATCTATCATTTGCCATCTCCTGTTAAAAGTACTATGCTTGTCTCTGCTTCAAATAAATACTTGTATGATCTTGATATTCCTTTGTTAGGTTTTGGTATCCTATACAAATTTCTGCCACTGACGCTCAGGATTAGAAAAATGCCTGCCAAATTCCCAAGGTGCCTTTTGATACAGATTTTTATGCAAGATACACAGAATAGCATGCAGCATCTTGTTTGTAATTTGGAGCGACTTTTCAGCTATAAAGAGAATGTCTAAGTGGTTACTTGAAAAAATTATAAATGTTATATATGTATACGTTCATTTTAAAAAGGAAAGTGACTTGTTTCATCTCACAGATACGATGATATGTTAGTGGTCCCCATTATTGAGAATACACCCGAGGAGAAGGACCTCAAAGAACGAATGGCTTGTGCAATGAACGAATACCCAGACTCCTGTGCAGTACTGGTCAGACGTCATGGAGTATATGTCTGGGGAGAGACTTGGGAGAAGGCAAAAACCATGTAAGCCTAAATCAAAGAACATTCCTGGGACAAGTCATCACACTCCAAATGTGAAAGAGAACAAAATACAGTTTATCATTGAAAAGGAAGTGTGATTGTGTGTGTGCGTGTGTGTTGTTGATCAAATTGGCTTAAATCTAAGTAGCTTATCATTATTTCTTGATATTTGTATTATCTTCATTATGTAATATTTATTGGATAAATTATTTATTTAGCACGACTCTGCCCTTTGATACAGACAAGGAGACAAATATTGTTCACAGTTTAAGTCTGAAAGACAGAATAGAGCAAACCAAGTCTAATGATGATTTGCCACATTTATTCTTTAAAGTGTGGCACATAGTAAAAAATATAAAGTTCAATAGAGAGTATATTATAAACTTCCTTTTATTTCCTAAGATGTAGATCATGAAAAGGTTGCATAATTTATTATGATCGCACTCCATGTTTTAATAATGTTGGGGCAAAATAAGAAAAACTTGGCCTAGAATTAAATGTGCCAGAAACAGGGCTAACTTGATGGACGGGGTTTGGTGAACTCTGTTTTACTAAACACCTTCTTGCTTTTTCTCTCATAGGTGTGAGTGTTACGACTATTTGTTTGATATTGCTGTATCAATGAAGAGAGTAGGGCTGGATCCTGCACAGCTTCCAGTTGGAGAAAATGGAATTGTATAAGCCAAATGGAAGTTTATATCCAGAGCAAAAGCTTATCTTATTACTTAAATGAAACTTGATGGGTTTTAAATGAATTGAAAATTTCTATGAAGCTGTTATTTTGTCCCTAAATACTGCAAATTATCACCCTGAATCTCTATTGACATTGGATGATATTTGCTTAATCCTTGTAATTATAAATGACAATTGAATGTAATAAAAAAATTTATAATGTTTACTTTTAAGTCCTGTTCAAAATATTTTTCTTTAAGTTCTTTTCCATACAATCCCAAAGAAACTCTCTTTTCTTTAATGTTGCTGGTGATAATAGATTAGACAGCAGATTTCATTTTCACTTGCTGTAATATTGCTATCATAAAATCGATGTGAAAAGGAAAGGTTAAATGTATCCCTTGCTGTTGATGTCAAAGCTGTTTTATAAATTTTCCCCATGTGCTATGGTGTTTCCTTATAACATATGGCACTCATTGTATATTGAAATTGCTTGTGAAATTCAGATCAGGTGATATTAACTCAAAGTCTCCTAGCCAAGTAAACCCTGACCAAACCAGCGATGTCATCAGACCATGTTTTTTTTTTTTTAAATGTAGCCAAAAGCTACATCAACTTGATCATGAAAGTTTTATTTCACCATTACTTTTTTTTTTCAGCTGGGGGAGAAAAATCAATAATACACCATCTCCAAAATTTTCTGGAATGGGGGCATTTCAGTCCTTGTTATACCACTTACTTGACAACCACACACAAGTAGGAAGGCCTGATTGGGAAAAATGACCGTGCTCAGTCGCCTGTCTCACTACAGATTTATGACCACAGATCTCCTATGGGCACTCCATACTGACTCATAAACCTGCAATTCCTTAGTAGTTTCATTTTCCCCACCTTGTGACTATTTCTTCACCTTCCTTTGTCATTCATCAAATCTCCAACATAACCCCCCCACCACCACCACCATCAACTCTCAGGTGAGAGAAAATACAGTCTATTGTAAAGCGAACTCACTATCTCTCCTTCACTATCTCCCCACTCCCTTAGAACTCACTATCTTCCCTTCACTATCTCCTCACTTCATTATCGCCACCAACCCTCTGCCTACAGCCTTACTTTGCCACATTCTTTCTACCGAACTGCTTCTAAAGTCAGTTCTTCCACTTAAGCCTTGGAGACAATGTTCACTGATCTTGGAGGCTTTGCTTTTGCAAACATCTACCCACTTAACCCATTTCTCAGTCATCAATTTTTTACCCTCTTCACTGGATCTTTTCCATTGGTATGAAGATATGCCATAATATCTTACAACTTTAAAAATACACAAACCTTGTCTTCTGCCTTCAGTTAACTTCTCCTTCAGAGCAAGAATTTTTGAGGGTTGTGCACTTGTCTGTCAATTTCTGTTCTCTCAGTTGTTCCTTGGCTCACCCCAGGCAGGCCACACCATTCCACTGAAACAGTTTTGCCACGAATAAGGGAAACCCCAGATCCTCAGCCTCTTTTCGTCCTTTTCTTCTTTGCTCCAAATGAAGCTGCTCTCTCCCCTGACACTGGCAGGTGGTGGTGGTTTCCACTTCCTCTCCTGTTGATGGGCCTGGGGGCGGAGTGAATGAATTCCCCTTGTTCCATTATACTCAGTGGGCCTTCAACCACAGTGAATTCCTGCGCTCTCCTGACACTGTTATAGGGCAGGGAGAGGGGCAGCCCAAACCCTGCAAACCTGCCTATTTTAAATGGGTTCTGCCATCCGCCGCATCAACACAAAACATATGAGACTTTAATGGGAAGGAACTTTAATACAATTAGGAAACAATACAAGAAAGGCAAAGAATCTAATTTCTAAATCAAGCACCCCCAAAGTTACCTGTCCCCTCGTGGGTAAAACTCCATCCAAATGGGATTGGCCCAGAGCAAGGCCCCAAAGCCTGCCCCAAGTCTAAAGCATCTTCCAGTGGGAACCCACAGAAAAGGGTCAGAAACAACCAGACAAGCCCAGAAGGAAAAGAGCAAAATCAACATCAAGATAAAAGCTGCCATTGTCACCTCCCCACGGGTCTCACCCACATCCGTGTCACCCAGTCCACGACCAAAAGACAAGCGCAGTTTCTTCACATGTCTCTAGGCTCCATGCGCCTCCTCCAGGTCTCCTTCTGGCTCCATCCTGCTTCCTTCCTTCCTCAGTCTCCTCTGCAGCTTCTTCTCTTCCTGCTCAGCTCCACCGTCCCTTGGGTGGGGCAGGAAACCTGGAACCTCCCTCTTTCCTGGGGACCACCCTATTACAACACCATACTGCCCCTGTGTGCCTTCATGTTGTATGTAAGGAAACATACAACCACAACCACATTAAGGTCAAGTGGGCCTTTAACACGGCCCCTGAATTTTACAGTATGACCCTCGTCCTTCCATTCCCCTGCTCTCCTCAACAAATGTTCTCTCTTCTCAACCATCGAGCACCAGCGCACTCACTCTTGGCTAATGACCCCAACTGCTATTTCACTGAAAATACACACAGCAGATCTCCCTTCTCTCATGTTCAGAGGCAACATCCCAAACAGTTCCCACTTTCCTAAAGTCTGCCCCAGCTCCATCCTTTTGGTTGCTGTAAAGGTCAAGAATGACCACAGTGCAGGTTTTCTGATCCCATGCAGACGAGGTAAAGGAGGAGTCAGAGTCCTCAGTGTTTTTTTTGCAGGTCTTTTATTGGGGTTCACCAGGCATACGGCAGGCAGGGGTGCTGGCAGGCCTCCTAGCCCCCAGCAAGTCTTCACTCTATCTAGGCTCTCCGGCCCCCTCTGCTTCTGCTTCGGGCTTCTTCTCTTTCGGCTTCTGCTGCTGCTGCTGGCGTCCGCGTGACGCTGCCCCCAAAAGCCCAGTCTTAGCCCAGGTGAATCACATCCACCTATGCCCACACCCTATTCCAGGTGCCCACCATCAGGCATGCATTCAGGACCGCAAGGATCCATCATCCATCCCAATGGCGGGAGGCAGAAAAACCTGACATTTTTCCTCACCCTGCAGTTGCTCATAAGTTATCCTACTCGTGGTTTTGTTCACATGCCTCTCGCAGCTAGCTAACCAGTGAGTTCTCCCAGCTTTGCATTGAGAATATACCTAGTCTCTCTAAACTCACTGCGTTGGCTGTTCCCACCTGGCCCAAAGCCTCCCATTTCTCACCTCTTATTGGAGTTGCCTCCTAACCAATTTCCTTGCTTTGGCCTTTGCTCACCCTCCTCCCCCGACCCTCACTCTGGTGCAAACAAATTTATTCTCAACCCAGAAGTCTTCTTGATCTGTTAATATGGAAATCAGCCATTGTCACTCAAAACTCAGCTTACTGTGTCGCAATGAACGCTCCGCAGTCTCCCCCAGCTCCCCATTGCCTCCCTCAGTTGCCTCCTCACTACTCTGCTCCAGCCACTGGCATCCTCCAGAGAATATAAACTTACAGGGCACTTCTACACAAATGCCTCCTTGTTTAAACCTTCCTCCTCCAGACACTTTTCCTCTGCTCACTCAGGTCTTCAAATGTCACCCCCACCTCCTCATCACCCCATTTTAAATATAACACTCCCCCCACATTAAGGATTCCTTCCCTGCTTTAGTATCTCCTGAAGTGCTTATAACCAACAGCAGATGATTTGTTTTCTTTATCCCTTCACTAGAATGGGAATTGAATGATGAGGATTTCCGTTTGTTTTGTTCCCTGCCATACGCCTAGTCTCCTGAGCAGTATCTAGTACATAGTCAGTATTAAATATTTATTGACTAAAAGACCACCTTTGGCCAAAATGAGGGTCACTTCTCTATTTTACTTGCCTTGAAACGTTTTTCTCTAGGGTCCTGAGATTTTCTGCTTCCTTCCTTGGTCAGTTCTGTGGCTCTCTCCTGGAGAGTTTCTCCACTCTCAGACTTGTAAACATTGGAGGGCCTCAGGCCACCTAATCTCTTTAACTAGGAAATCTCTTTCTGTGTTTGACTTTAAATATGGCTGACGGCTCAGAGTGTTATCTCCAGCCAAGACCTTGCTTTTACATTCCAGACTGCTCTCTCTGCACCCCCTACTCATCACCCCTGGGATGTCTAGCACACTGTGGCCCCAAACAATGCTACTCATTTTTCTTCCCTGGTATCCATTACCTTCCCCTCACTCACAAACATTTTCAGGACTCTTAGGCCAAAACTTCTTTGAGACAGATCTCTGCCTTGTTCATTACAACAGTGAAAAATGCCTGGCACCTTGTAAGCACTCAATAAATATTTATTTCCTGAGTTGTTGGTGAAGGGTATTCCCCTGGGGAAAAATCATTTTTTGGCTTACCCCCATTTTCCTTATTTTTAAAGTGGACCTAATGAATGAGATAAGTGTGTGAAAGAACACAGAGCTTGACCCATAGGTTTTCAATAAGGATTAATTACCCTCCTTTCTGTAAGTTCCACTGAACCTTCATAAGGCGTTTTTGAGGTAGGCATTATTTCATTTTTTTAGATGAGGAAATGGAGGCTCGGGTAGGAATAACATGTAGAATTAAAATAAAAAAGATTGTATTAACTTCACCATGACTGTCATATATTAGGAATGCACTCAAAAGCTACACTTCTTACGAGAACACCCCTCAGGTAGCACCGTCATGGTAATTGTGATGCAAGTAAATCACTTTTTTTTCCAGATTTATTTATTTATTTATTTATGCAAGCACTGGGTACAGTCAGAAGCGCGGGAGGGGGAGAGAACTCACCAGAGTCAGAGCGGAGAGCAGAGCAGGCAGATGGACGAAATACACTGCTGAGGGGAGCAGCAGGTGGCAGGAGAGGTCTGTGCACCACGTGGGACCCTCGCCAGGTGGCCGGGGATCGAACCGGCGCTGCAGAGGCTGCGGGCAACCTCGCAATGCAGCGCTCAACCGCTGCGCCACTGGGGAGGCCCCACTTTTTGTTTTTTAAAGATTTTTTTTATACATGCATACAAGAACTGAGGTGTGGGGGATGTTGAATACAGAGGTGTGGGGGATGAGAGGACCAGAGAGAGTGGAAAACAGAACAGGCAGATCTACTGAAATACACTGCTGAGGGGAGCAGCGGGCGAGACAGGAGAGGTCTGCTACACCATGTGGGTCAGCTCCCTGGCCGGGGATCAAACTTGAGCTGTAGGGGCTGCAGATAGCTTCATGGTGCTGCATCTTAACCCCTTGCACCACCAGGGAGACCCCACAAGTAGATCACTTTAA